CCCAGCATCATGAGCGTCAGCCGGTCCTGCCTCCAAAATGCGCCACCCAATCCCGAAGCGCATTTTGCCTCCAAAATGCCCTATACCCCCCTTCCCGAGCGGCAAGCTGGTCTACTCTGAGCAGCGTTCAGCAAGCATGTCTGAACCTCTAGCCAGCAGGCTTCGTGTCAACCCAACTCCGACGTGACGGACTTGAAACAAAACCGCGTGCATAGCGAGCATCCCCGCCTTGCAAATGCGTGTAGCTACCATTCAACTGCCCATGATCTCCTTTGCAACCGGAGACGTTGAGCACCTGGCATTCAACTGAGAAGGCCTGACAAAGACTGACAAGCTGAGCCCCGTCATCTGCGGCTACACGAACATGGTTCTGTCGTGCTCATACTGGACATTATTGGGCTCTGACAGATCGCCTTGGGAACATCTGCGGACAAGTCGTGTCTGAAGCATACAATGTTTGCATCTCGCTGCGCCTGAACAACGTTTCAAACCATCACTAGCTTGTGAAGCGAATGCGCAACATGTTGCAACACATGTGGCCTTCCCGAAGGCAAACACAGTCCAAGTCACGGGGCCTTGCGTCACGAGCACCAGCACATGTATGGCATGCATGTCAAAAATGCGCTATAATAAGCTACCGCTTGTTAATGCAAAGCTTCCAACAAAGCAATGCAGCTCAAGCCTTGTATGCAATGCTGCAGTGCAGTGCACTTGCGCTGTCCGAATGCATTTTGCCAAGGCTCGTGTGTATTCCGGTTAACAAGATTGAAGCCGCGAATCTGCTGAGTAGCGATATGTCTTCGAAAGGCATAAAGATTGCAAGCAAGCCACGATTCCAGCCTATCCTTGCGGCTGGCAACCCCTGTTTGACTGTGGCCATGCACAAAGCCCAACAAAAAGTGGACTTACGGGACCCTCTGGCATTGAGGGCCACCGGCAACTGCGGAGAATGACACCAAACACACTCACTAAAACAGCAAGGCTATCGTTTTAGTTTAGCTTTTTGCGTTTTCCGACACCAACCTGTCATTGAGCAAGACAGGCTTGATTATGAGTATGGTCGGAGTAAGACGATTCCTAAACGCTAAACCCCTAAACCCTAGGAAAACCCCAAGTGCCAGAAACTAAGACGTTGCAGCAGAGCCCTCCCAGAAACCTAAACAACACACAAAGTGTAGATTAATTGCATCCGTGTGACACATATCGGGCGATGGTGATGAAAAGTCAGGACCACATCGTGCCAACACCTTTGTCACTGCCAACAGCCTTGTCACTGCAATGGACGACTAATACAAGCAGAAACCCAGCTTCCAGAAACTCGAATGAAACATCCTGAAACACAAAATCGCACGCCATCGTCACCGCATGGTACGGCACATTTGGGTGTCTGGTTGAGTGCCGAGCTGCATCACATTACGTGTCATACAGCATGCGCACTCCACGAGTGTAATCAACTCAGTCAATAAATTATGTGGACACTCACAACATGTCACAACCTGCACCCCATGCCTGAGCGGCATGATGTGTTGACGTAGTTGATGCTGAAACCTACAACGTCATAACTCTGAGGTGGGGACGTGCACTCCGGCAGCTAGGACCTGCAGCAGCACTCCGCCATCACTCCGCCGTTTCCGGCATTGGAAGCAAACTCGGCAATGCCTCTCAGGCTGCTGCTGATGCGGCAACGTTCCAGTAGCCCATCTCGCCGAAGAACAAGTAGAGGGGATGCAGCTCTCCATCATGCTGCCAAGAGATCAAAGACAAAGAGCGGGCAAGCCACTGAATCACGATCAGCATCTGGAAGCCTCGGCTAATCCATTTGTGCCAGTGTTGGGCAACGGTCTGCCTCGACCTCAGACACAGAGGCATGCAAAGCCCCAGCACGTCATGTAATTGCCAAAGCGAGCCAGAGCCCAAGCGGAGCCAACAAGGTCGGCCGTGAGGCCGTGTGCCCTAACGCATAGCTTTGCCGGTGTTGTAACATTTTGGGAAGGCAAAAATCTCATGGATTGCGTGAAGCCTCGAGAAGTTCATAATCACCATTGATCTGCTGTCCAGGACCTTCTCTGCCTCCGACAGAGAGAAGCCTTCGGCACTGCGCACAAGGCCGATTGCTGCAGACTGCAATCAGAGTCTGCTTAAAGACTAACAGTGGCATCTGCCTTGGTGGCTCCTCTTGCTTTGATTTACCGTCAGTTCGCAGTGACCTGGGCGCATACCACCGCAATATGCGCAGGGCAGCAGTTGACACAGCTTGCAAAGACAAAGACCCTGTGAAAAAAAAAGAGCTCCTGGGCTGGAAACTTCTTTGAAGATCTTGGCCTCATCTGCATTTCCAGAAAAAGCGTCTGGCACCCTTTCTCTCGAAATTGCCCACTACGAATATGCTGCTATGGCGTCTACATAGAACAGAATTACCTCTGACTTGGCGAAGAAACCAAGGGCCCAGGCCAAGAACAGCACAAGACAGAGTGGACTGCGTGTCTATTAGCGCTGCACCAAGGTTTGCCGCGTTCCAAACCATTTTGCGGCTATGCTGGGAGCAGAAACAGGTTTGGATTTCAGAGTTCGGCCAGGCTTGTAGACTTTGATGCTGGTGGAAGTCAACTGCCAAGTCAGGGGCGGACTATAGGGAAGTGTTTGAAAGATGTTGCTCTACAGCTTATGATGACTGAGAATGATTGGCTGAGAAACGCTGACAACATTGAAGCATCTCTGTTGTCTGTTGTTGCAACGGTTGCCGTACTGGTGCAGCATTGGAGGCAGAGTCACATCTCCCTGTGCAAAGGATAGCTTGCTCTTGCTGAGACTGCAAAAGAAAGTGTGGCATAGCCTAGGTGTCGCAGCCTGCATGGCTATCTATGCGGTCTTCAGGTTCCCAGCCATAGTCCGTGCATAGCCTGTTTCTTCCTTGCTTTCTGGTCTCTTCTTTGCCTCACTTGTCAGTGTCATCCTTACGTATCCTGAGCTTCGCTCTGTTGCAATCAGTCTGTTTCGCTGCTCTTTGCTGTGTTTCGACTAGATTCCTCATTTGTTCTATTTGCAGTGCTGTGCTCTCTTCCTTTTGCTCGGCTCTCTTTATTTGTTGTCCTTGCCTTCTCCACCCGAGTGAGAGCATGAAGTGCACTACATTACACTACCACATCCAACTCCAGGGTTGGCTCTACATTCAGGGCCCCGGCTCCACAAACGCAGTGCGAGGAGACCGCAAAAGGCTCCTCTGCAGCCAGTGGTGCGAACAAGCTTTGATTCGAGCAGTTCTCCGCAAATCGGACGCAGATAGTTGTTTCGTATGAAGGCTACTTGGACGCTCTTGTTAAGGTCACCTCTTCATGGGTGCACGGCACTCCTGCTGTCTACCATGTCATGGCATTTGTGGCGGTCCCATGCTTGCCTGCTGCAGTCCTGTAGCTGGCTACAACTTAACCTAGCCGATGCCGATGCTTCTGAATTGGGTGACACCAATGCAAGTTAGGCAGAGGGAGCGCTGGTGGACAAATGCGGTGGCGCGGTGTTTGTCATGCTGCTTGACTTAAGAATGTCTGACAACAAAGTCATGTTGAGCAGTCCAAATGCCTTGCATGAGAGTTCTCACAGAAGCCGAATCAAGACAGTGCACCAGGACCGAAACATCCACAAACCGTGATGCTGCAGTCCGCTGTATCCCACCCACATTCCCGTGCGGTCACACAGATGATGCGCTTTTTGTTGGTGCACCGTCGTGGCCCAGTGCAAGTTATGCAGTTCCCGTATTCGGAGTTCAGGGAGTCCTTCTTCATGCGGTGCGGGAAATCTCTTGAAACTCGCCCACAAGAGATCCAATCACTAGCTATGCTTGTGCAAAGACCTCGCAAGAACTGCATCAACTTAATACATGTTTTATGTCTTGATGAAGGCTCTGGAGCTGGCATTCACCTGAAGATGACCTGTCGATGCACGTTGACTTACGAAATCCGTGCGAGCCTGCAGTCAGACTGTTGGGATGGACTTGCAGTCTTTTACCTTCAGCCAAACCCCATCCAACCACCTGGAGATTTATCCCAACAGCTGGCTCTCCAGTGCGAAAACTTTGAACACAGATTCACCACAAATGGAAGCACTTAGCAAGCCTTGGCTCTAGAGCTATCAAAGCTTGTGCAGAAGAATCTGGTATGCCGGTCATGCCAAGGCTTGCATGGCTGCAGAGTGTGACACTTCCGGTCATGGCCTAAAGCCAAAGCCACCTGAACTCGACTCTATGCTTGATCTTGCACAGCTCTGTTTCACGGATGCCTGGCTAGGCAGAGAGACGTCCCAGGTAGCGACGCGGTAAACAAATGGCTCTTGCTGCACGCACTGCTGCAAGTGAAGCGTTGCGGCTTCTCCAAGTGAGCAACTGCAAGAAAATACTTACCTTCAGGCAGGATGACCTGTGCATCAACTGCCGGCCAAGTTCACCCTGAAGCCTGCAAAAAGAAAGCAGAAGCAAGTTATTTGCACTCGCACTCCTCGCACCAGCTCTATGACATCTGCAAGGCTTCTGGAGCCTTTGACCACGCCACTCCAAAGCAGTGCGGAACATGGCAAAATACTTCTGCAACGTCCCCGGCTTCAGAAGCTTCGCAGCATAGTGCCATCAGCACCTGAACATTGATGGCTTAAGACCTGCATTTTACATTGTACAGGCTTCCCAATCAATATGTGCAGTCAGAAGGCAGGCAGGCGTACAGGCAGTCGCCGGGCAGGCAGGCAGAGAGACAACAAAGATGGAAAGAGAGAAAGACGGAGAGAGAGAGAGAGAGAGAGAGAGATAGAGAGAGGGACGGCGCAGAAGAAAAGGTCTTTGGTTTGGTTCATCCTACATGCAGCTCACAAGACGTTCACTTCATACATTGCCGAGCCAGTCTTGCCACAGCTGACTTTTTGCCGACTCCCTGATGAGCTCTTCTAGTAAGCAAGAATGGCAGGCTGGGCTGAAAGTTTTCGCGGGATTATGCCAACCTGTGGCGAAGACCGTGCCAGGCTCTGCGTAACCAAGGACCGGACTGGCAACTCTGCTTCTTTTTTTGATTTGCTTTCTTGACTTGGAATGTGTTGGGCTGCACCTGAGCATGCCGGTAGGCAGGTGAGAGGCAACAAGTCTCGGTTCTCTGTGCCAGGGCCCGTGCATCTGAATATCGTTGCTTGACGACTTCATCAGCTATGGAAAGGAAGGCCTTAAAAAGACAACCCTAAAGTCTCTGCACATCCTGTGGTCTATGTGCCCTGTGCCCACGCACCTCATCAACCTCTTGCCCCGTCTTGGCGGAGGTCTGCACAGAAAAGAGACAGAAGGAGGTTAGGAGGCTTCGATTTGTTTGGGAGCCTGTAGAAACATGGGCAGGCATCTTTGTGACCAGCCTCAAAGAACTTCATGCTGTATTGTGCTGCCAGCTTTTCACCTTCTTCTCTGGTGACCTGTGCTATCAGGAGAAGTGAGGCTTTACATGCTGAAGAATTTGCATATCAGGCGCTTAAAAACTGCGTATGCAATTCATCAGGCTTGGACAACACCCCCCATCACAGCAATCGTACTGAGGTAGCCCGTTTCTTAAACGGCTTCTTGGCCGGCATGTCGTTTGGGGCTTTCAGTGCACAGTGCTATTCGCTCAGGCAGCGGCTTTCCGATTTTCACTAAGGTCGGACTTGTTTCCCACAAGGACCCTGGCAATGTAAAGTCTGACTCCAGCAGCAGGATAGGCAGCAGCAAGTCTTCCGGGATGCCTTTGCACACCTTCATCGCCGTGCTGCTCCAGCTGCTGCAGCCAGTAGTCGATGTGCTCAAAAGATGCCTACCACAGATTGTTTTCAATTCAGCTGCTTCCTTGAGCTCGGGTGCAGGCTGAAATTGAAAAGCAAAGACCAACTTCCAACACAGTATCGCATTCAACCTGAGGCATCTCACAAAAGCCTCGCAAATCTACCAACGCTCAACACATGCGCACCAACTGCTGCAGGTCTGCGAGCTACGTTGGTAAAGCTCTGCCTTGTCAGTAATGTCGTAGCAGATCACCACTCCCATTGCCTACGAGAGGTTTGACACCATCCATTGAGCAGCTGCGCAGATCTTCCAGATGATTCCATGCCCAGTGCCCAGCACAATCAACACATGTCAGATTGGCAGCTCTGTAGTATGCAGGCGTAATGGTGCCTTTGGCTTCCAGCTCTTAGGGGACAGGACGCCAAGCGTCATGCATCTGAACCATTTGCTCTGGCTCAGGGTTGCGCGGAATCGCTCCTGTCCAGCTGTGTCCCAGACCTGCATGGACAAGGTACCAGCCCTTGGACAATGACTCCTGAAGGCATGGCCGGCATGAAAAAAGCTGGCATTGCATCAATTTGTCTGACCTGTATTTTCAATTTCCTGTTCTCCCGCTCGACCTGCTTCCATTTGAAGTCGACACCTGCAAAGAGGGATGTGACTATGACATTCGCTCGGCTTCTTGTTCTGCAAATCACAGATGCTCCGGGCATCCTCTTAGCATCACCGTGAAGCACTAGGTACGGTGATCAAAGCGCAGCAGCCTATGGTCAGAACAAAGTTTGCGTCGAATTTGCTTTCGCAGAACCGCATCAGCAGCGATGACCTCGGCCATGCTGCCGGTGAACATGAGCAGAAGAACCTTGAGCCTGGTCTGGTCTCCGGGTCAGTGACTTGCCAACAGCAGAGTCACCAAGCAACAGCAGCTTCACCAGATGATCCTCAATGTAAAAGAAACATCCACCATCAGCATAGGGAGCATCCGAACAAAAGTCAGCTGATGCAAAGGTTGTGGCGTAATCCCCGGTGACAGCCATGCTTCAACCACCTCAGCTCGCAAGCTATCTCGCGAGGCTGCGTGCAACTTTGGAAAATTAGAACTTCCATACATGAGCAGAGAATGGATGTAAACACGCAAGAGTGACTGCACCACCCGGAGAGCTCGCACGCGAAGCCTCAGAGTTGGTGCAATGGCAGATCACACAGAAAGACAATGCATTGACCAACCGGCTGAGAATAGCTCCAACAGCACAAAGGCTACTGGTGGCTCTCCTAACCCTGTACGTCCTTCTCGTGGAGCCATGTCCAGGCGGAACAGAAAGTGCAGTGCGACGTGCAAGGCCATGAGCAAAGAACGGCAGCTAGATCATCAACGCGCA